GAAAAAAATTTTTTTGTGGTTAAAAAAAGGTCCAAAAATGGCAGATTGCGACGTTTTAACGGATTTTGTTGCGTTTGTCAGTGTTTGAGCCTTTTTCCAGCTACAAAACTCCTCTAGAAACCCACTAGTCCTGGGGGTTTTTTCCAGCCAAAAAACATTGGTTACGGTCTATGTGTGCATGGACACATAGGATAACATGCTGGGGGGTTTACTAGCTGTAGAAAAAAATGTCAAAAACAGCAGCTGTAAAAAAGTCAAGTGTGCATGAGGACTTGCGTACTTGCGAAAAAAATGCGTATTAAAATCCATGAAAATGCAGGTTAAAAAATGCACGACAATCGCATGCATTTTGTAAACTTGATTGTGTGTGAAAGGACTAGTGCAAGCCAAATACCTGCCAGTGTTTGTTTTCCGTTTTCTGAACGTGCATACGTATCTCGCTGCAGGAACAGATCTGTGTATATATTAGGCCCGGCTCATTGTAGTCTGCACAGCGTTTTACCATGCACACTAGTATTAATGTTGGCACCAGCATGGAGCTGATACACATTTTAGGGCACTGCACTGTTTTTTTTTTTTTGTTTTTTTTATTTCTTTTCCAACTTTTTTTTTAAAGTGTCTCCTAGTGACATTTCATTCAGATCACTGCACAGCAGCTCGTGCGTTGCACGACCGTGCAATGACATACTGCATTGTTTTGCACTGAAATGCTTTACACATTACACCATCAGTGTCGGCTCTGGGATGGAGGTGTGCAATGCACATTTTAGCGCATTGCGCTGTTTTTTTTTTCCCCAATTGTATTTAAAGTGTCTGATAGTGACATTTCATTCAGGTCACTACACAGCAGCTCAGTGTGTTACTGCCATGCGATGACATGCTGCATTTTTCTGCACTGCAACACACCAAACAGTACACCAGCATTGTGGGGACAGGGATGCGACGGCTGCGTAGAAAACAATTTACATTCTTTGTGTCCTAGTGATGACTTGGGTTTATACAGTATGGAAAAAAAACGCAGACCACTGCATATAGGGCATGTGTACATTTTTGGTTAGTCGAGGGGAGGTATTAATTATGCGCAATAGAGCAGCTTTTTGTTAGTACCCCCCCCCCCCCCCCCCCCCCCCCCCTTGCCATAGTTGAGATGCTTCGCTCTGCGCCCACGGCAAAAATTATCTGACATGAACTCAGCGAGCAGCAAGCCTGGGAAACGCAGACTCAATGCAGCAAATGAGGAATCGCTGGAAATGCTCCACAACGGTGCAGTTGCAGTGCACTTGTACGGCAATTATGGGGTTAAAACAGGTGGTGAGGAGACATCACCACCTGTCAATCAGCTCTGAAAAGCAATCCAAATTCAGATAGCTTTTCAGAGGAGCAGCGCTTTAGAAGCAATTGTTAACAGCACCCCCCGTGTGTCTTCTAACATGCCAAACTGTATCGTGCAGCAGTACCATGCAGGTTGGTGTGGCGCATTTTTTGGAGAAGCGTCAGGGACTTCTCTTACACATTTCTCTCGCCTAGGGCTGTCCTACACGCAGCGTGCTCTCAGCTGCACCTAACCCTTACAGTGTATGTACACCAGGGGCGGACTGACCATTCGAGCACTCAGGCACTGCCCGAGGGCCCAGGGTCAGTAGGGGGCCCCATGAAATGCCCCTAGTACTTTTTTTATAGGCTTTTTTGAGTGTGGGCAAGGACACCAGGGCCTCATGATCCCCTATTGCCCGGGGGGGCCCCATGAGTTGTCAGTCCGCCCCTGATGTACACCCAATTGCAACAGCTAAGCAGCACAGTATCCCTGGAAGCTGTTTTAGGGGCTCATTCACACGGTCGCAAAGAACTGTACCGCGTGATAACAAATGGATCCCTGCGCTGGGGATTGGCAGGTGTCTGCATACAGCCGGCTATACAAATCAATGACAGGCTGCAGCTGTACTCTGGGAACTGCACATCCGCGCGCTTGCTTGCATACAGGGATGATGTGCGCAACAAAACGCAGGCAGTTTGCGTCCATACGTTGATAAATCCTCTGCGGTGATTGCACTTTGCAGTAACATGACATCATATAGAGCATATACTGGGGTATAATGGCAGCTGCGTGCGCCTTACCTGCAGACACCAGGCTCTTTACATGTGCAATGATAGCAACAGAGCAAGCAAGGGCGCTCTCCTCCCCCTCCTCCTCCCAGACACAACACACTTCCCAGAATGCTTCACTTTCCTTCTGTTAAAAGGGCAACCTCATAAAAGGGCAATATGAAGAAAGCATGTCAGGCCGCGCCATGCCATGCCGCCTAATGGTGGGGGTGTAGCCTAGGATCACACATGTGCATGTGGGGAACATTCTGTTTGCATTGCGATTTCAGCGCGCATTTCTATGGGAATGCCATTGCGGGTACAACTTCAGTGGAGGTGCGATTTTGGCCCCTCTATCTCTCAGTTCCATGTCAACGCACAACATAGCCTGCGAATGGAAAACAGACCGCTTCACACTCGCATACGACCCTTTTTTGACACGCACACAAAACGCAGTGCGTTTGCTTCGTATATATATGATGGGGACCCTGATGTTAGGGGGGGATTCTGATTGGGACCCTGATATATGGGCAGACCCTAATGTAAGGGGACTCTGATGTAAGGGGGCTCTGATGGGGACCCTAATGTAAAGGGTCTCTGATGGGGACTCTGATGTAACGGGGCTCTGATGGGGACTCTGATTTAAGGGGGTACTCTGATGGGGATCCAGATGTAAGGGGGAAAGAAATGAAGCAATCCCAATGCACACGTGTGCGTCACAAAATGGCTGTATGTGTAGTTGGGTGCTGCAGCGTCCATTGGGTCTCACAGGACCCCTTCATCTGGCATGTGACAATTGTGAACAAACAGAGAAACTATTTAAAGAGCCATTCACCAATCAGTGCACAGTAAATAGGGACAGGGGGACTTTCATGAGGACTTTGATGGGGACTCTGATGTAAGGGAGGACACTGATAGGGACACAGATGTAAGGGGGGACTCTGATGGGGACCCTGATGTAAGGGCGGACTCTGATGGGGATCCTGATGTATGGGCAGACTCTGATGGGGACCCTGATGTATGGGTAGACTCTGATGGGAACCCTGATGTATGGGGAGACTCTGATGGGGACGCTGATATATGGGTGGACTCTGATGGGGACCCTGATGTATGGGGAGACTCTGATGTGAACACTAATTTATGTGCAGACTCCAATGGGGACCATGATGTAAAGGGGGACTCTGATGTGAACCCTAATTTATGGGCGGACTCCAATGGGGATTGTGATGTAAGGGGGAGATTCCGATGGAGACCCTGATGTAAGAGGGCTCTAATGGGGACTGTGATGTAAGGGGGTACTCTGATGGGGACACAGATATAAGGGGGGGGGGACTCTGATGAGGACCCTGATGTATGGGTGGGCTCTGATGGGGACCCTGATGTATGGGGAGACTCTGATAGGGACTCTAATTCATAGGCAGACTCTGATGTGAACACTAATTTATGTGCAGACTCCAATGGGGACCATGATGTAAAGGGGGACTCTGATGTGAACCCTAATTTATGGGCGGACTCCAATGGGGATTGTGATGTAAGGGGAGATTCCGATGGAGACCCTGATGTAAGAGGGCTCTAATGGGGACTGTGATGTAAGGGGGTACTCTGATGGGGACACAGATATAAGGGGGGGGGGGACTCTGATGAGGACCCTGATGTATGGGTGGGCTCTGATGGGGACCCTGATGTATGGGGAGACTCTGATAGGGACTCTAATTCATAGGCAGACTCTGATGTGAACCCTAATTTATGGGTGGGCTCCAATGGGGACTGTGATGTAAGGGGGGACTCTGATGTATGGGCATACTCCAATGGGGACCCTGATGTAAGAGAGCTCTCATGGGGACTGTGAAGTAGGGGATATTCTGATGGGGTCCCTGATATATGGGAGACTCCAATGGGGATTGTGATATAAGGGGAGACTCTGATGGGGGCCCTGATGTGTGGGCATACTACAATGGAGACCCTGATGTAAGAGGGCTCTCATGGGGACTGTGATGTAAGGGGGTACTCTGATGGGGACGTAGATGTAAGGGGGGACTCTGATGGGGACCCTGATGTATGGGCAGACTCTGATTGGGACACAGATGTAAGGGGGGGACCCTGATGTATGGGCAGACTCTTATGGGGACCCTGATGTATGGGTGGGCTCTGATGGGGACCCTGATGTATGGGCAGACTCTGATGGGGTCCCTGATATATGGGGGCACTCTGATGGGGACCCTGATGTAAGAGGGGACTTTGATGGGGTCCCTTGTGTATAGGAGGACTCGGATGGGGACCCTGATGAAAGGGCGGACTCTGATGAGGACTCTGATGTAAAGGGGCACTGATGGGGACCCTGATGAGTGGGCAGACTCTGATGGGGACCCTGATGTATGGGGGCTCTCACTGGGACTCTGATGCAAGGGGGGACTCTGATGAGGTTTACACTGAATTTATTTTTTCTCTTCGGAATGTATTTGCTTTGGTTTACTGACATTCGTTCTCCGTTGTTATGAATCACATCGTACCGATTCCAAAAATCTCCAAGTAAAACTTTATTTCAATTGTATTCATTTATCAGACTGCTTTGTTTTCAACCTACAAATATTTGTAAATACAGAGCGTGGCCCCTGGACTGAGAGGTTCGGGGCCCCTGCCCATCGTTGTGTGACTATATTTGACATTTATCGGTGTGTATGGGGGGCTCGGGATCTCTCCAGGTTTGTGGAATGAGCTTTCAGTAACAGGTGAGAAATGGGTGCAGGTTGTGTAATCTGAGCCGGCTGAATAAAGCTTGTCAGAAAAAAAGACAAGACAAGAGCAGTGCCTGGAGACGGTTGTCAAGACAACGGTAGTGACAACAGACCAGGCTGGAGCTGTTTCTTCCCCTAGAGAGGACAGCATTTTCCTATCTGTGATCCTGAAGGTTCAGGAAGATGAAGGACATGGCAGAGCCGGTGGAGAACATCTATAATCTCATCCCCAAAGAGGAGGTCAGAATTCACAAACCTCCCAGGTGAGCTGACCCATGCAACCTATCCGATGACAAATTATTTGTCGCTAGAAATAGGATTGAGCCCGCTTCACATCAATGTGGCTTCAAAGTCGTGCGACTTTTCCGTGCGACTTCATTGTGGCTTGCTGACACTCACTGTGACTTCATTAACAGATGCCAATGCAAATCACAATGAAGTTGCACAGAAAAAGCGCAGGAACCATTTTGAAAGTCACTGCGACTTGAGTCGCCCTGATTTGAATGAGGCCATTGAAGTAGCATGAGAAGTCACACTGGTGTGGGGTGCAAAGTCACATGACAAGGCGCACCCCATGTTTCCCAATGAGTACCATTCATATCTGTGCAACTTCTAGTCACAGAGACTTGAACGTAGTTACTGTGCTACTTTGGTCAAACTTTCATGCGACTTGAGGGCCATAGACTTCAATGTAAACCCTTCAAAGTTGCATGAAAGTTTCCCCTTAATGATATACATGCGACTTGTGTGTGACTTTGTACAGTAGAAACAGTCATCCTTGCTCAAAGCCAAAGTCGCACTCATCCAAAGCAGCACTCATCCAAAGTTGCATCAAAGTCGCAGTGTAAAGTCGCAATGAAAATCGCATGATTTTGGAGTCACACAAGTGTGAATGGAGCCAAAATGTTTTCCCAAAACACAGCAGCATTCACAAACGGCGCACACACTTCATTAGTTGTCATTTAGTTTTGAAGTACAAATTTCCGAAATTAGTTTTTGGCCGGAGTTCATCTTTAAAGTGTATTTATTTTATTTGTATTTATTTTATTTTATTTGTAGATAACATACAGAATTCATTTTTTCTGCTGTGTGTAACTCCTATGCAGTCTGCAGATTTCCCTTCACTTCCTGTCCCAGACACACAACAGGAAGTATTATTATACAGTATTTATATAGCGCCAAAAAGTTTGCTCAGCGCTGTACATTATAATGGGGGACAGAACATGAGACAGTACAGTAACAAAATAATACATGAGGGGTTCGAGGGCCCTGCTCCTTGGAGCTTACAATCTAGGAGGGAGTGGATAGTGGTACAGGAGGAAGTGGCTGTGGGGGATGGAGTGGTAGGAGGAGTGGAGGAGATTGGCTGTTAGGTGAGGGCAGGGTAGGCTTCCCTGAAGAGATGGGTTTTCAGGGTGCGCCTAAAGGTGAGGAGGGTAGGTGACAGTCTGATAGATTGGGGTAGTGACTTCCAGAGGATGGGGGAAGTCCTGGAGAAGTCCTGCAGTCGGGTGTGGGAGGTGGAGACCAGGGAGCTAGAAAGTAGGAGGTCTTGTGAGGAGCGAAGAGTACGGGTTGGGTGGTATTTGGGTATCAGGTCGGTGAGGTAGTTTGGGGCAGCGTTATGAATGGCTTTGTATGTCAGTGTTAGTAGTTTGAATTTAATGCGTTGGGCAATCGGAAGCCAATTGACAGAGGGAATGACAGAGGGGGGTGGCAGATGCGGAGCGGTTGGTAAGGTGGATGAGTCTGGCTGCTGAGTTCAGGATAGACTGAAGCGGGGATAGCCTGTGTTGGGGTAGGCCGGTGAGGAGGGAGTTGCAGTAGTCCAGACGTGAGATAAGGGAGTGAACGAGTTGTTTAGTAGTGTCTGGGGTTAGGAACGAACGTATTTTGGAGAACGCTGAAGGAGCGTTGGGATAGATAGGAGGAGAGCCAGGAGAGAGCGGAGTCTCTGATGCCGAGGGAGTGCAGTTTATTAGGGAGAAGGGGGTGGTCAACTGTGTCGAAGGCCACGGAAAGGTCGAGGAGTCTCTTGCCGGTACCCAGTGATAGACAGCTGAAGCTGCCAATGGCGGAGTGGGTAGAGCGGCGCACGTGCCCCCTACCCAGCAATACAAAATCATGTATATATAAGAGATTTTGTGCAGCCCTGCCGCCCTGTAGCAGTAGTTTCTTCTGTCTGAAAAGCTCTCAGTGGATCAATTTTTAGATGTGTGTGACAAAAGATGAAGAGGAGATATGTTTGTTTTTTTTTTTTTTTTCTTTCAGATACATCTCCACCTTCAGGGATTCAGTGAAGGTGGAGGAGCAGAAGAATAAAGCTGCACACAGGACCATGGGACCAGCGAAAGTAGAGGTCCCCTCCCCAAAGGAATACTTACAGAAGCACACCAAAGAGGCAACGCAGGCCCAAAGTAAGCAGCATGTTACACCCTGCCCCTTCCTCCCCTGTCATAGGGTGGGTGAAGGGCAGGGAGGGCTCTGTGGGAGCCACTAGGAGAAGTGAACTGTCACTTGTGAACACAGAAGCCAGGCTTACAAGTGACAGTAGTGAGCAGTTAGCACAGGGCCAGGGCCAGAGTACCACGGGGAACCAGCTGGAAAAAAAACCCCGGCTTTGACGCATGTGATGTTGTGCTTTAAAGCTGAACTCTGGGATAAAGTAATATTGTCTAAATCAGGGATCTCCAAACTTTCCAAACAAAGGGCCTATTTACTGTCCTTTGGGGGGGCCGATTGTGGCCAGTGTGGGGAGAAAATGTCTCAGGCCCGGTATCAGTGCTAGTAACCCACATGAAAGAAAGATATATACTGTATTTGAAATACATTTTAAAAATATTCTTCCCAAATATATTGCCATATATTTGAAATACTACAATTTTGGCCATATGCAATGTATTTCAAAATATATTTCAATATATATATATATATATATATATATATATATATATATATATATATATTACTGCATGTTGATATTGTGTTTTTATTACAAAATATATGAAAAATATTTTTAAAAATACATTTCTTAAATTTTTTTTAAATATATTCGTCAGATTTTTTTTTACATATAAAAAAGTCATTTTAACATATATTTGTAAATGCATTCCAAATATGTAGATTTGTATTTTTAAAGAGGGTATATTTGAAATGTATTTTTTAAAATATTTTTCATATATTTTCAACATGCAGTATATATATATATATATACTGTATATATATATATATATATATATATATATATATATATATATATATATATATATATTATATATTTTGAAACATATTGAATCTGGCCACAATTGTAGTATTTCAAATATATGGCAATATATTTGGGAAGAATATTTTTTAAATATATTTAAAATATATTTTTCTTCCATATGGGAAAGAATGCCGTAGGCATAGTGTTTCAGTTGCATAGTGCCTGTGGTCAGTAGGATAAGGAATAGTGCCCCATCTCTGGTGTCAGTGGATGGAATAGTGCCCCATCATTGGTGTCAGTGGATGGAATGGAATAGTACCCCCCATTGTTGGTGTCAGTAGATGAAATAGTGCCCCATCACTAGTGTCATGGGATGGAATAGTGCCCCACCATTGAAATTAGTGGGAGGAATAGTGCCTCATCATTGGTGTCTGGATGGAATATTTCCTCGTCTCTGGTGTCTGTGGATAGAATAGTGCCTCATCATTGGTATCAGTGGATGGAATAGTACCCCATTGTTGGTGTCAGTAGATGAAATAGTGCCCCATCACTAGTGTCATGGGATGGAATAGTGCCCCACCATTGAAATTAGTGGGAGGAATAGTGCCTCATCATTGGTGTCTGGATGGAATATTTCCTCGTCTCTGGTGTCTGTGGATAGAATAGTGCCTCATCATTGGTATCAGTGGATGGAATAGTGCCCCATCACTGGTGTCAGTAGATTAAATAGTGCCCCATCATTGGTGTTAGCAGATGAAATAGTGCCCTATCATTGGTATCAGTGGATGGAGTAGTGCCCCACCATTGGCCTCAAATCAGTGGGAGCAATAGTGCCCCAATGGCCAGATAAAAGTTAGCAAAGGGCCACATCTGGCCCTCGGGTCGCAGTTTGAAGACCACTGGTTTCAATGCAAGAGTTCTGTGTGTTCTTATATACATCTTGGTGTGATTTGTGTATTTCATCCAGATCTGTGCAGTAATCCAGAGTTAAACTTTAGTTCTGTACAGAACCACACTGCTGCTCTCTCTCCTTGTGCAGGAAGACTGGTCTTGTTTCCGCCCCCGCCTGCAGTTTTCTTTAGGCAGCTCGTAGTGCTGCCTAAAGCACCCCTATCAGTGGTAAATGGTTTGTCCCATCCCTCTAACTGATACATTTGCAGGACAGCTAGTTCTGTTGAAAAATAGTAGATTTTCTGGCAGGAAATAAAATAAACAAAGGAAATAAAACCTAAAAAAGAAAACTAATGCAGTATCACATCTAAGAAATGGTATGTTGAAATATAATAAATGTTTGCTTTTAAGTTTAATACCGATTTAAATCTGAAGTTTAGTTAACGCTTGTGGATCGAAATGCCAGGAAGCAAGGGTGGGCATTCCAATCATGTGACCACTGTGATTGGCTGTCACAGCAGTCACATGATCGGAAAGCTCCCGATCACAAGTGTGCATCAGGATCTTTCCGTTACATGTTAGTTGCTGGGCTGGGAGCGCACTCTCAGCACAGTAGAGTGTTTACAAATAGGCACATTTATGCGGCCGCTTGCCAAGAGGACACATACAAGGTGTGTCCAGAATATAATGAGAATGAAGTGCCTACGCTCAAGAAGGGCTCTGTGAAGGGAGAAGCTGGCCAAGGTCACTTGGGGTGGGATGCCAGTTATATGATAGAACACTGATCAAGTTACATTCTTGTCAGTCTTGTCAGAGGTGAGACATTCTTTTTTGTGACACCTTGTTCAAGTGCCTTGTAGTAAGAAAAATTCAAGCACATTTGGAACAGTGGTACGAGATAACATTTTGTGTGAAATTGATTAAAGGTGCATCAAAAACTTTGGAAATGGTGATTAAAGCTTATGGAGAAGCTGTGCTATCATCTGCACAAGTGTACCAATGGCACAAGGCCTTCAAGGAAGGACGAGAAGGTGTTGAAGACAAACGATCAGATGGTTCACTATCAGAATGATTGCAGAGGATACAAGAATTACCAAGTCAATTGTTCATGAAATTGATTTGAACATGAGAAAAGTGTGTGTAAAACTTGTTCCAAAGGGTCACCTGATCAGAAGGGATACCTTCAGCTCTTTTGCCAAGACTTGTTGGCCCATTTGTAAAGAGAGCATGATTTTTTCAGTTGGGTGATCACAGGAGATGAAGTCTGGGTGTCTGAGTATGATCCTGAGATGAAGAAACAAAGTTCAGAATGGTACACACCCATGTCACCTCGCCACAAGAAAGCTCAAATGAGCAAAGTCCAATCAATGGTCATTGTTTTGTTTGTTTTTATTCACGTAGAATTGTCCATAAGGAGTTTGTACCTACTGGTCAAACTGTGAATCAAAGATTTTACCTCGAAGTTCATTGGCTCAACTTGGATCCTTCATCAAGACAACTCACAGTGCTTATGGCTCAAAAACACATCACTGTGCTTCCCCACCCACCCTACAGCCCCAACTTGTCTCCAGTTCAACCATTAAAAAAAAAAGTTATAACCCTATACCCACAGTTGATCCAGAGGAAGGCACAAAACCCAGCAAAGCATGATCCAATTTGCTCCTGCTGGGAAAAAAAATTCCTTCTTGATCCCCTGAGAGCCAATCAGATATTCCCTGGATCAACTTTACCTATAAATGTTAGTATCCAATTATATTCTGTGTATCTAAGAATCATTGAGACAATATTCAATTGTATAATTTTTCCATAAAATAATTTTTTAAATATCATTCACATTACTTTCTGGACATACCTCATATGCAGGTGAAGCTCAAAAAATTTGAATATCTTGCAAAAGTTCATTTATTTCAGTAATGCAACTTAAACGGTGAAACTAATATATGAGATAGACTCATTACATGCAAAGCAAGATAGTTCAAGCCGTGATTTGTCATAATTCTGATGATTATGGCTTACATCTTATGAAAACCCCAAATCCACAATCTCAGAAAATGAGAATATTGTGAAAAGGTGCAATATTCTCGGCTCAAAGTGTCCCACTCTAATCAGCTAATTAAGCCATAACAACTGCAAAGGGTTCCTGAGCCTTTAAATGGTCTCTCAGTCTGGTTCAGTAGGAATCACAATCATGGGAAGGACTGCTGACCTGACAGTTGTGCAGAAAACCATCACTGACACCCTCCATAAGGAGGGAAAGCCTCAAAAGGTAATTGCAAAAGAAGTTGGATGTTCCCAAAGTGCTGTATCAAAGCACATTAATAGAAAATTATCTGGAAGGGAAAATTGTGGAAGAAAAAGGTGCACAAGCAGCAGGGATGACCGCAGTCTGGATAGGATTGTCAGGAAGAGGCCATTCAAAAGTGTTGGGGACTTTCACAAGGAGTGAACTGAGGCTGGAGTCAGTGTATCAAGAGCCACCACACACAGACGGATCCTGGACATGGGCTTCAAATGTTGTATTCCACTTGTCAAGCCGCTCCTGAACAACAAACAACGTCAGAAGCGTCTTACTTGGGCTAAAGAAAAACAGACCTGGGCTGTTGCTCAGTGGTCCAAAGCCCTCTTTTTCTGACGAGAGTAACTTTTGCATCTCATTTGGAAACCAAGGACCCAGAGTATGGAGGAAGAATGGAGAGGCACACACTGCAGGATGCTTGAAGTCCAGTGTGAAGTTTCCACAGTCTGTGTTGATTTGGGGAGCCATGTCATCTGCTGGTGTTGGTCCACTGTGCTTCATTAACTCCAGGGTCAACGCAGCCGTCTACCAGACGAGCTTTATGGGGATGGTGACTTCATTTTCCAGCAGGACTTGGCACCTGCCCACACTGCCAAAAGAACCAAAACCTGGTTCAATGACCGTGGGATTACTGTGCTTGATTGGCCAGCAAACTCGCCTGACCTGAACCCCATAGAGAATCTATGGGGCATTGCCAAGACAAAGATGAGAGACATGAGACCGAACAATGCAGAAGAGCTGAAGGCCGCTATTGATGCATCCTGGTCTTCCATAACACCTCAGCAGTGCCACAGGCTGATAGCTTCCATGCCACACCGCATTGAGGCAGTAATTGCTGCAAAAGGGGCCCAAACCAAGTACTGAGTACATATGCATGCTTATACTTTTCAGAGGTCCGATATTGTTCTATGTACAATCCTTGTTTTATTGATTGCATGTAATATTCTAATTTTCTGAGATTGTGGATTTGGGGTTTTCATGAGCTGTAAGCCATAATCATCACAATTATGACAAATCACGGCTTGAACTATCTTGCTTTGCATGTAATGAGTCTATCTCATATATTAGTTTCACCTTTTAAGTTGCATTACTGAAATAAATTAACTTTTGCACGATATTCCAATTTTTCGAGTTTCACACCTGTATGTGCCAGGTGAGTGGGAAGAGGTTAAAAAAACAAATTTTCCCCCTACAGGTTTAACTAACATTTTTTATCTGTAATGAAGTATACTCATCAGCCACTTTATTAGGTACACCTGTTCAATTGATTGGTAACACAAATTGCTAACCAGCCAATCACATGGCATGCATTTAAGCATGTAGACGTGGTGAAGACGACTTGAAGTTCAAACCAAGTATCAGAATGTGGAAGAAAGGGGATTTAAGTGACTTTGAACGTGGCATGGTTGTTGGTGCCAGTATGTCCCATGATGTTCAGGCTGTTGGATTCTACTGAACTTCGGGTGCTGTGGGGGTTAACAGAAATTATTTGGGTCTCTGGGCTCAACTGCACTAAGGCCTCATTCAAGCTCCAAAATGCTTGAGGAGTAAAAATCAGTTATTCTCAATGGAGATGGTTTACATCTTCACTCCAAGTCACCTGAAGCCAAACACCTATATCTCAAACAAGTTCTGGAGCTTTTTTGTACCTCAAATTGAGCAGATTTGCGCTTTTTTGCCGCATTTTTATGCACATAGAAATTAATGGAAATGCACGTTTTTGTATGTTTTGTTGTGCGTTTTGAGCAAATGAAATTTTTTTTCAATAACATATGAATAAATGAATGTAAAGTAAATAAAATAGATACACAAATAAATAAAAATCATCAGAAATAAATAATAAATAAAATTAATTAATATGTATTTTGTGTTTGGGTTAGGGTGTTTATTATTTTATTATTATTACTTTATTAAATTAATTTTTTAAGGGTTAGGGGGTTATGGTTAGGGGTTAATTATTTTTTATGTATTATTACATAGTATTCATTTATTATATTTCTTTATTTATTTATGATCATTTTTATTTATGTATTTGTGTATTTATTTTACATTTATTTATTATTAGTATTATTATTAACACGCCTAACCCTAACAAAAAAAAAGAATAAAATAATATCCCTTAATCCTAACCTTAACCCCAACCCCTAATCCTAACCCTTACCTAACTTAACTTTAACTCCTTATCCTAAAACAATAATAAATGAATAATAATAACAATAATAAAAAAAAACAACAGAAATAAAAACTAAAGGAAAAGCTGAAAAACCTAGCAAAAAATGATGCAACAGATGATAATAAAAAAAAAATGCCAAAGCTCAAAAATGCCTAAAAATGCTGTATGAAAACGTGCAAAATTGCACAAAAACGCTCAAATTCGCTACGCTTAAGTGTGAATTCAGCCTAAAGATTATCAGCTTTAATAATTAAGGACACGGGAAGGTGTGTTATTTGCTACTAACCACACATTTGCCTTTCTTGTGTACAACAAGAAAGTGCTTTGCTTGACTCCACAGGAAGACCACCAAGATGCCTTGCAGAAGACAAGAAGCGGCCCCCAGTTCCAACAAGAGCAGAGCATCCAATCATGGGAATGCAAACGAACAAAAGCTTCATCAAAACCAATGTAGCTGAAGCTGTGATGGCTGTACCTAAAAAGCCACAGCCCATCTTTGTGGACACCAAAAAAGGGGACAAGCATCTCCTCGAAACCTCAGGACTTGTTCCGAAATACATCAAAAGGAAGGTAATGTAGCAGCTACCACCACACAGGCTTTTACCAACAGGAAATATCACATAATTAATTTATACACTCAGATAAGGAATGCCTGCCATAAGTCATCTCAAGATGACATTAATGTCTGTACTTACTCAGCATCTTGACTTCTGGAAAGCTGTTATTGTGGAAGTCCCATAGTATGCTCCTAAGTCTAGGCCTAATGCATGGACAGGAGATAGCTATCTGTCAAACATGTCAATCACATGCATACTCAGAATAGGTTCTAATGTTGGTATAATAGGCACAGGGATGATGTACAATGTATTCCATTATCCTAAAACACAAACTACATGCATTTTACATCTACAGTATTCATATGCATGCCAGTAAAAGTGCAGCATTAAAGTAAATGTGAACTCTCATCTTGTAAAACAACCCATTCAGTTTAACCAATTTAACCCCAGGCCAATTCTGATATTTCTCACATATATGTAAAAAAAAAAACAGCAATTTTTTTTCCTAGAAAATTACTTGGAACCCCCAAACATATATGTTTTAAACTCTAGAGAATAAAATGATGGGATTTACAACTTTTTATGTCACGTGATTTGAGCAGCAATTTGTGAAATGCAAATTTTGGGAAAGAATACACTGTAATGAATTTTAGTAAACACAAACACAATATAATTCCCAATTTTTGGTAAAATACAAAACATAATATTATGCAGAATAAATATATATTAAACATGTCACGCTTTAAAATTGTGCACACCTGTGGATAGCCGCAAAGTACAGTACATTCAATTGTCCATAGTTGTGCAGGACCTATGTGCGTGTTCGAATTTTCACATAAGCATGGGGAGACGGGAGCACTTTACATTTTTTTAGCATTATTTTATAATTTATTTTATTCACATTTTTTGCACTGAACCTTTTTTTTTTTTTTTTTTTTTTTTTAATTTGGATCAATTTTAGTAATGAACAACACCTTTTGTGATAGCATGGGCCACAACAGGTCCTCTTTTTGGAAAGATCTGGGGATATCTTTCCTCTGACCTCCTACGCATTTGAGATACACAAACAAACTGAAGCTAAAAGTGACACAATCCCCATTGTTTCCTGTTTCTGACATCAGTGTGTACGACCCCGGGAAAAGCAGCGGCTATGGAGGGACCCCCCTTTGGCTGCCTGTAAAAGTGATCCAGCGGTTCTTTATCCCCCTGGATCACTTTTACACTGTGCAGAATCCCCTACTGTAAAAAAAAAAAAACCTGTACTGGGATATTAGTTGTGGCTACAACCATTATGCCAGTATACCCATAAAACCACCTCAATATAAGGCCATATGTATACATACAGTATGGTGGTATTGCAGTGGTTAAAACTTTGCTTTTCTTTCAGAATCAACAATGGGGGCCATTGAATGCAAACATGATTTGTGATTTGCACACAGAAAAAAGTATTTTTCCTAACAAATTCATTCAAGACCCTGTTGCAAAAATGAATACACCCCAATGAAAGTCTTAGGAGGAAAGCTAAATTTTAGACAACACAATCCTAATTAACAAGAATGCAACTACCGGTGAGTCTAATTATTCATTAAATAGGTGTCCAGCAGAAAGTTGATTATAAAAGGGCATTATTTAACAAAGAAAACCCCTTCCCATTTCATGCTATCAGCAATGGCACCACATGGAAGAGAAATGTCACAAGGTCTGAGAAAGAAAATAATTTCTTTACACGAAAAAGGTGAAGGCTACAAGAAGATCAGCAAAGCTGTACTTATCAGTCAGAATACTGTAGCAAAAGTGATACAAAAATGCAACAGATGGAACTGCAACCATCTCACAGAGACATCCAGGCTATTCACGGAAGTTATCACCTCGACAGGAGCGTCTTCTGATGAGAAGGGTTGAAGAAAGTTCACTGCAGTTAGCTAAAGAAGTAGAAAGCCAAACTGGGGTGATGTACTGCTCTATATTAAAAAAGAAGATGCTGCCATCACTCTGTGAGCTTGGTCGGCGTGCACTTTTCATACATAATGATCCAAAACACACATTTAAGGCCACTGCTGCATTTTTGGAAGAACAGGGTGAAAATGATTCAGTGGCCAAGTATGTCTCCTGATCTGAACCCAATCGAACACCTATGGGGAATTCTGAAGAGACAAGCTAAGCATCACTCTCCATCCAGCATCCAGGCTGTAAAAGAGGTTGTAACAAAATCTATTAGTGTTAGCAGGCCTGATTTTCAGAAACTAACCCAATACCTTCAACCTGAGGTGGTTTTACAGTCCCCAGTGAGCAGAGAGATCTATCAAATGGGTAGACTAGCTCACTTTGGGCCCTCAGAACCTGATGGCAAGGAGATAGCCAGAAATAAGGAAAAAGTTATATTTACCCCAAAACAACAACAAATAATGTTCTTTAAAAGCAGTGAAGAGACTTCTGCTCGTGTGATGGGACCAAGTTGGTGCACAGTGAGAGGAAACGTGATTCATGGTTCTCTAAGGAACAATGCAGTAAAGTGGGGTGCGCAATTCCGCACATCACAAGTTTTTTTTTGTATTTGTACAAACTTTATTTGAATTGTACAAAAGTATATTGTGTGAATTCGCCCTAAAGCTGCACAGACATACAGATACATTCATTTACAAAGTACAGTGTCACATAAATAAAGCCCCACCATTGGCTGTCTTGCCACTTTTGGCCAATTTATTAGGTACACCTGTTCAACTGATTGGTAAAACAAATTGCTAATCAGCCAATCATATGGCAGCAACTCAATGAATTTAGGCATCTAGATGTGGTGAAGATGACTTGCTGAAGTTCAAACCGAGCATCATAATGGGGAAGAAAGGGGATTTAAGTGACTTTGAATTTGGCATGGTTGTTGGTGTCAGATGGGCTGGTCTGAGTATTTATAAAACTGCTGATCTACTGGGATTTTCACACACAGCAATCTCGGGGTTTACAGAGAATGGTCAGAAAAAGAGAAAATATTCAGTGAGCGGCAGTTGTATGGACAAAAATGACTTGTTGATGTCAGAGGAGAATGCGCAGACTAGTTTGAGATGATAGAAAGGCAACAGTAACTCAAATAACCACTCGTTACAACCAAGGTATGCAGAATACCATCTCTAAATGCACAAAATCCGTCAAACCTTGAAGCAGATGGGCTACAGCAGCAGAAGACACACTCCTGTCAGCTAAGAACAGGAAATGGAGGCTACAATTTGCACAGGTTCACCAAAATTGGACAATAGAAAACTAGAAAAACCTTGCCTGGTCTGATGAGTCTCAATTTCAGCTACGACATTCAGATGGTAGGGGCAGAATTTGGCGTAAGCAACATTAAAGCATGAATTAAGCCTTCCTTGTTTCAACAATTCAGGCTGGTGGTGTAATGGTGTGGGGGGATATTTTTTTGGCACACTCTGGGCCTATTAATACCAACTGAGCATCCTTTAAATGCCCACCCGAGTATTGTTGCTGACCATATCCATCCCTTTATGACTACAGTGTGCCCCATTTCTGATGGTTCCTTCCAGCAGGATAATGTACCATGTCACAAAGCTCAAATCATCTCAAACTGGTTTCTTGAACATGACAATGAGTTCACTGTACTCCAATGGCCTCCACAGTCACCAGATCTCCATCCAATAGAGCACTTTTGTGATGTGGTGGAATGGGAGATTTGACATTATGGATGTGCAGCCGACAAATCTGCAGCAACTGTGTGATGCTATCATGTCAATATGGACCAAAATCTCTGAGGAATGTTTCCAACACCTTGTTGAATCTCTTCCATGAAGGATTAAGGCAGTTCTGAAGGCAAAAAGGGGGTCCAACCCGGTACTGGCAAGGTGTACCTAATAAAGTGGCCGGTGAGTGTATATTTTCCATGAGGAAGGACTACATTTTAACAAAATATAATGACACCCCTCAGCATTCACACATCAAATATGACTATAAGAATCATTTATTGTGGTTGCTGTACTCTGCATGCTATCCTTGCTTTTTGCATCAGCTTATTGATTAGATTAGAAGATTTCCAGGTATGGGTTTTTTTTATACATAGCTACATTGATCCAGCTAGAAGGAGGTCCCATCACTTTGCCCTAAATGGGCAAAGTGGTAATGTCCCTTTAAAGTCTTGCCATGTTTGGAGCTGGTGTATACTGGCACTTGTTTCTAACATATCTTTGTGATGGACCTGGAAGGCAGTGTTTACATTTAAGACTGGATTATAAGGAGCACTGTTCACTTTTCTTATTGTTTTTTCCATTAATGATATTGCTTTGCTTTTATTCCTCTCTAGGCATACTAAATAAATCTCAAAGGTGGCCCAGACATGCAGTCTATTCTCCCTGAAAACACCTGAATCCATTCTTGTTTGACTAGTTTCTGGTTCTAGAACTTGAGCGCTCAAAACTGGTTCAGCTGTGCACAGGGGCGGACTGACAACTCATGGGGCCCCTGGGCAATAGGGGATCATGGGGCCCCTGTGTCCTTGCCCAAACTCAAAAAAACCTATGAAAAAGGTACCAGGGGCATCTCATGGGGCCCCCTACTGACCCCGGGCCCTCGGGCAGTGCCTGAGTTTCCAAATGGTCAGTCCACCCCTGGCTGTGCATGTAGCCAATCAGCTTCTAACGTCAGCTTTTTCAAATAAACTTTGACAATAAAACCTGGAAGCTTTTTGATTTTCATTGCAGAGCTGCACCAATTCTATACTCTCCAGTTTTAGTAAATAACCCCCATATATAGCAATCCTGGCCATACACTAGGCAGCTTTGTTAACAAATTTGGAACTTCCTCTCAGATTTTAACCACAGCCATCTGTCACCCATATTTTAGACTGATTCTAGCTTCAGCTGATGAAATTATTGAAATGTGAGTTGATTGAAAATTCAGCTGGCACTGAGCCTGGGTTCACACTGATGCGGTCCGGAATTTGCAGCTTTTTCTGTGCGAATTCTACACTGCATTAGATTTGCACCCCGTTCATGCGAACCGTGTATATGTTAATAACACCCCGAAATCGGTCCGCAAAACCCAGTGTGATGTGCAGAATTGGATCACATAGGTGTGAATACCCATGCGATCCGATTCCAGTGCGGACCCAAAAAAGGGTCCTGCATCTTTTGATGCGGATGCGGTGCAATTTGAGCCATACATAATGTATGGTTCAAATCGCACCGCACACAATTCATATGTGATTTGCACAGGAATGCAGTGCGGTTCCTGTGTGAATCACATGTGATGTACTGCACTGCATGAGTGTAAACCTAGCCTGAAGCAGGTTTTAATAGTTTTCCACTGTCATCATCATCGTTTTGGTTGCTCAAAACACAGAAACAAATGTAACTAAGGGAGGTAGATCAGCAACAAGTGTCAGTGTTGGCATCAGCTCCTGCTCTGGCCATGCACTATGATGCTTTTCGCCCCAGGGGGCTAAATGCATTAGTGGGTGTGGCCAGAGAGAGAGTGAGGCAAACAATGACACTTGTTACTGACTCAATGGGGTCAGTCTGAGCAGAACCTTTTTCTTCATCGCCTCACACTTTGGATTAGTGCCAGAACCAGGGGTGACTGACCATTTGGAAACTCGGGCACTGCCCGAGGGCCCAGGGTCAATAGGGGGCCCCATGAGATGCCCTTTTTTCATAGGCTTTTTGAGTTTGGGCAAGGACACAGGGGCCCCATGATCCCCTATTGCCCGGGGGCCCCATGAGTTGTCAGTCCGCCCCTGGCCAGGACACAGGCTCCTGTTTTCTGGGTACTGGCGGGACTATTCCACATGGTCTGACCTCGAAACGGCGCTGCAAGGCTCTCATCCCAAGGGAGGTAGATCGGTGTAAAAAATTGCCAGTGAAATTAGAGATACATTAGAGTTTCAGATGTTTTGATAAGAAGTACAACACATGGAGAGTATCTTTTCCTAAATTCAGCAGAGATCAATGTTTTATTCTGGCACCACCTTTCTCTGAATCTATCTGTATCTACAGTACATCTGTAAGACCTCATGCACGCAGGATGTTTTGCTAACTCTCCTACACTCCTTTCCTCCTGGCAGCAATGTTTTGGCAGAAAAAACTCTCGATGTTTTGTAAACTCGTGTAATATGTTTAGACGCGTTTCCGCACATCAAGCGCTTGGGCGTTAATTATTTTATTGGCCAGAATAATAATTTATTTTGGCAAATTAAATGAATTAACACTCAAGAGCTAAACGCACCTTGCGTAAACACATGTTTACAATCGTTTAGGTGCATCAAGTGTTTTTTTTTTCTCCCAAATCTCTGCCACTCCTAGCTGTGGGTTTTTTCCTGCCTCTAAACACCCCTTCCTCCAAAGTTCTTTAAATTTCTATGTGTGCATGGACTAACATAGGCTAACATGCAGGGGCATTTAAAGGTAGGAAAAAAACTGCCAAGCGCCCCCTAGGAGCAGTAGAAAAAACATCCTGTGTACATGAAGTCTAATTGTTAAACCTCACGGAACAGATTTCAGCACAAGCATATTTTTTTCTGAAGGATTTTGGCACTACCCCCGAATATTTAGTAAAGAGGAATGAGGAAGTGAGAAGAGCCCAGGAAGAATATGATGCTTATGTGAGAGAACGGCTTAGGATGGGCGCCATGAAACAACTGTCCGAAGAGGAGAGACAGAATGTGCTAGAGGTAACGTGTGTTTTGTTTCATTAAAAGGTCAGTCCTCCCCATAATCATATTTCATTTGTAGGCAGATCCTGGGGAGCTGTGTCACCCCATGACTTCCTAGATCTTTTGGTCGCTCCATAAGCCAGATCTCCCTGTCCCTGGAGGACAATTTGTCCTCTGTTAGGCTCCCCCTGTTATGTAGAACTAAAGGCAAATATTTCAGATCTACGAAATTCTGAAATATTAGTTTTGGATGAACTGACTCTTTACAAGGTATAGAGGAAAGGAAAGGCAGCTGAATGCCACACTCGCCTGTTCCAGCCTCCAGCACTGGGTCTTTCCCCCTATGTGGGAGCAGGGCCTTCCTAACCCTCTTGTATTGATCTGTATTGTTGCTGTATTGTCTCCTGTTATCTTGTAAAGCGCTGAGCAAACTGTTGTATAATAATAATAGTAATAATAATGTGCAGCAGCTGGCGTCCAGCCAATGAAAGAGGGGGCGCTGTTTTAAAAGGCTAGTGCATGGATTGCTCAGTGTTCAAACAATGCACCCACATGCTAGCAGCTGGATCTCCTTGCAGTCTCTTTTCTCTATGTCTCTTGTGATCACCTATGTTCCTATTTCTTCCATCCCTTCTTGTAGTGTGTTAATTTCCAGCTTTGCTCCCAGTCTATCCCAGCTTGCTATCCTAAGTTCAGATCAGCCACTCTGCCCCTGGTGGGAGTGGATTTCCCAGTTGTGACACTGAATACCAATTTTGTGGACTAGGTGCAGCATGGTGGGGCGGGCAGTAATGGTACTGATGCCTGGAATGTAGAAACAAATATTTTGTTGCAGAGCAGTCACAACAACCTGAACTCACAGTCAATGCAGCGGAGAGTCAACGGTGTTGGGGACGAACTGCGGACAGCGTCTGGAGTGGAGTGTGGCATGGTTGGTCCAGCTCAAGAAGGGAAGGCCCTACGCGTTCCCTACTCCTCTGGAACCTTTTCCTACCACTAGCGCTGTCTCTGACAGATGGGGTATCTCTCTCCACACTAGTCACTTTGCCAATGTGTACAAAACCTGACGGCAGGGACTTAAAAAGGCTGTATTTGACCCAAGATGGCTGCCAGGGTCACCTGGATACAGCATAGCCAACCAGAACGCTACTCCCAGGGACTGAGGAATTTATAGAGAAACCAAGTTTCTCCTGACTTCCTCTCCAGCTGCAGTTCCACTCCAGTCAAGTGCCACCTACAGTGGAGAAAGCAGACTGCACCTGCCTAAAAACAAACATGACAAAATTACACGGTGCCTGTAACCCCTATAACAACACTAGTAACAGCTGCAATGCCATATCACTAGACCTTCTGATTGGAAACAAATCTTATTTAATAGCATAATAAATTTAATTGTTTGCAGTTATATTGTAATCATTACATCTTCTTCATGCTCAATACTGTCCTGAAAAGCCAGTGGATCATTAGAAACCCAATAATGAAGAAAAGTGATTTATGAAAACTCGTCTCAAAGTGCAACTCTAGGCAAAAGATATACTAGTGTACTGCTAATGCAAATCCTATAAACATTGCAATGTAGATTATACAGGAAAATGCTCAGTCCCGCTTACCTTGCAGCCTCCCCCCCCCCCCCCCATCTGCCCTGCAAATAAAAAAACTCAAACTAGAAGCAATAACACAGTAAAACATCAGAACAAAAATATGAAAAATACCTTACACCCCAGTATCCGGCAGGCTTCCCTAGGTAAGGGTTACACCATAAGGCTCTCTTGTAGGAACATGGAAATAATAAAGATCCCAAATACTTTCAAAATGTGCTTCTGAGCAGCATTGGAGTGCCTTCTAGTAATATTTGGGATCCTCAGTTTTCCCAGAATCCAGCTACAAGGCCCAGTGGCATCACTGGCATGTAAGGTAAGCATTTCTTATATTTTTCAGATGTTTTATAATGTTATTGCTTTCAGTTAGTGTTTTTTATGCAAGGTCCCCTCTAATCTGAGTATTACATAATGTGATTGGGTTTTTCACAGATTTAGGAGGGACTTGTAAAACATAAAGGGTTGTATCTTCAGATGCTCAGATTAAGGTTCAGTTCACTGCTGCGACCCCATTGTCATGTGAATTCCAAAGCGACTTGCTTGCGACTTTCATGTGACTTGAGAGTCTATGGGACTTAAGTTGCATTGAAATTTTTCATCAGAGTAGTACATGAACCATTTTAAAAGTTGTTTTGACTTGAGTCACATTGATTGGATCAGTTGCCATTGAAATAAATGTGTTTTCATTTGCCATGCGACTTTATGTGTCGCAAGTTGCATGGCAAGTCGCAGTATGAACCAGGGCTTAAGGCTATTCAGAAGTTTACTTTGTAAATGTTTCCTTTTCTTGTGTAGGGATTGAAGAAAAACTGGGATGAGCTTCACCACGAATACCAAGGCCTCTCCGTTGTGATCGACACACCACCCAAAAAGACTCACAAAGAGAAACTAGAAGTGGAAATGAGACAGCTGGAGCGAGATATTGATGTGTTTGAAAGACACAAGATTATATACATAGCCAATAACTAGACATCACTTTACTCACAAAATGAAGGCGACAGTGCGCTTTTAAGAAAGCTGAAATTTAGATATGGCTTGTATAGTTACACTGGTCCAGTTTGGATGATTGTAGATATGCATGTATCAGGGGCGGACTGACCATTTGGAAACTCAGGCATTGCCCGAGGGCCCGGGGTCAGTAGGGGGCCCCATGAGATGCCCCTGGTACCTTTTTCATAGGCTTTTTTGAGTTTGGGCAAGGACACAGGGGCCCCATGATCCCCTATTGCCCGGGGGCCCCATGAGTCCGCCCTGGCATTTACCGTACCTATGGAATCGTGACATCACTGTCCAATCTCTCCGCTGTGTCCAATGAGAAAATGTGAAGTGTTCTCTAAATAGTGCCCATAACCAGCAAGTGACCTCCTGTACTTACCGAGCAGCAGGAAAGCCGCTCTACACAGGATCTAGAAGCTATTGATGGTCACTGTAGTAGTGGTGCCTACTACAGAAATTACCAGCTTCTCCAGGGATCAGCCAGATATGGTACATCTATACCCACATTGGTCCAAGGTGGACCAACGTAATTATGCAGAAAAAGCCATATTTAAACAACAGCTTTCAGGATTTAGTAATTTATATATTTTCTAACAAACTATTTCTTTCATTGTTTAAACCTTTTCTTGATTCTTATTAAAAGGTTTTACTATGGTTTTTATTTGTATTTTCTTACATAGAGTTGTATGAACCCAGATGTCATTACTAGTGAATTCTTTTTTGATGATTCTTTTTTTTTTCTTTTTACAATAATGTAAATATTTACATACAGGGATTTAAGGAGGACTTAACTGTGTAAACTGTGCCCAATAAAGGCAAGCAGAGGGCAACTACCAGTCACCAGTATTGCCTATAGGTTTGAAACTGCTCAAACCATCCCCAAGGTTTACCATTGCCTTGCAGAAGCTTGCTGTACACAGTGCTGTACATAAATTGAAGTCTGAAGCTCTGGTATTTTTCTAATGGCAAGTTTTCTTTGAAGTGTTTTATATAGCTAAAAAAAAACCTTAAATTGATTGTAAACCCTGTAGAGCCTACTAAAACACACAGATGAAAGGGTTTTTCTAAGCAACAGAAAGCAACAGAAAGCAGGGGGGCGGGGAACTGACATCACACTGCAGAGCTAGAGCACAGAGCTCCGTGAAATCTGAGCAGATGATTGGAAGGAAGGGACACGCCCCCTGTACGCAGGCTCATAGACAAACATACAGAGCTGAGGCTAGGTGTCTTCTGCTATGTGCTGGAAGGAGGTTGGCAATCCCCCAGGAGGCTGTTGTGTTTGCTTAGGCCAAACACGATTTCTTCTGCGCTCTAGGACCCAGGCGGGTGGTAAATAGGTGGAACCAGAACTGGAAAACAGCGACCACCAGTGCATCAAAGGTTGTGCGGCTCCAAACAAGGCTGGGGAAGCCCGACCAACGCTTTGTAGTGTTTGCTTAGGCTACATGGATCAAAATTCGACTGGTTCCGCAGGGTCCAGCCAAATGTAGAACCATGTATGGACAGAATGGTTGTACAGAAGTTGATCTCCTGCTCTCTAGCTGGCAGCGCTGATCAGTGAATTCTCCACTGTCTCTCTACTGTCAGAACACAGTAGCTCAACAGGAGTGATTCCTCCATCCACCTCAAGTATGTAGATGGAGTAATTAGGTTATTTTTTTTTTTGTTCAACCTGCTGTTTGAACATTAAAAAAATTACTAATGTATGGGCTGCATTGGAGTTCTATCAGTGATTCATGCAGATAGTAGAGTGTAGAGATCAGGGAGGAACTGTATTGGATGCAGGGGCGGACTGAATATTTGAAAACTCAGGCACTGCCCGAGGGCCCGGGGTCAGTAGGGGGCCCCATGAGATGCCTCTGGTACCTTTTTCATAGGCTTTTTTGAGTTTGGGCAAGGACACAGGGTCCCCATGATCCCCTATTGCCCGGGGGCCCCATGAATTGTCAGTCCACCCCTGATTGGATACATTAGATTCAGACTAGTACATACTATAGAAGGATGTGCTTTGTTAATTTTTCATGTGTGAGTATTACAACCAATTTAATTAAGTTTTGAATAGAGTAGTGAGGGGTTAGAACATGTTACAGGTTATTATTGCTGAATCCACCCCAACTATTTTTCCTTGTGGCCATTGTGGGACTAGAAAGTATTTGTAAATTCCAAATTTTACAGCTGTGACTGGAAAAAGCAGTGAGAGGAAATCTCACCAATAGGGTGACAGCTATTTGGATGAGATTTCCCCTACCTTGGACAAGGTTTTCATTTACTTCCCATTGTAAGAGGAAGTAAAGTGAATGTTCAATGGATAACAAAAAACAAGAAAAAATAACAAACTATTCTGTATTCTGTCCAAAACAACATGGGCTGATTGGGGCATATAGCATAAAATATGGCTGTATTTTGGCACCCTGGAGTCACAGGTGTTGTGTACAGCCATGTGTACAAATTAATTACAGGAGAGGGCTGTATGCGGGTATTCATAGTTCTGAGTGTAAACATGTGACTGTTTACATTAATGGGTGCGCATTCCTACGCTCTCGGAGCTGCGTACACCTCTATTCAACTCTCTCCTGTAATTCATTGATACAATCGACTATTTGCAACACCTGTGGCTCCCGGTGCCAAAATATGACTTCTTTATACATTGCATGCTGCAATAAGCCCATGTGCATAAGCCCTATGATACAAGCTTTTGAGACACATTAGATTTCTTTGTCAAGCATTACTATCTGATTACAAATACAATCATAATTGGTCACAGGAGCTTGTAGAGCATGGGAGCAATGACAGAAAGCAGTCCCAACAGCATGTGGTTCTACGGATTGACCCTTTTATCCATTATTATGATTGAAGGTGTATGTGATTCTGCTTTTCACACTAGTGCAGGCATACAATATTAATTCTTTATAGGTCTTGTAATAACAAAAATCAACTAAATTTTTTTCCTTTGCTTTTATGAGTGGTCTCAAGACTATTGCCTTAGTAATTTTGTCCCTGTAGAACAGGATTTTGGAAGAGAAGAAGCTAGTGATGTCACTGCGGCAGGAACTCCCTCTCTCAGCTGCTAAATGTTCAAATTAAAGCCATACATGGATTAAATTCCGAACGATTTTGCGACCGAAAACATTGTTCATTCTGTAATCCGATGGTGCCACCAATGATTTTGAAAATTGGTCTTTTTCACAAATTTTTCAGCATGCCCGATAAACGAAATGGGGAGGAACCACGAAAATTGGCCAGTGCCATTGCCCCACTATCAGAGCAAAAGTCGGCAGTTTATTCTTAGGTCCGATTTTCTAACAAAAAATCGTTCTACAATTGACCCATGTATTGCCGGCCTAACTGTCAATCATCCAACAAGAAATGTTACCTGTAACAGATTTGCTGACAAAGCGAAAAGTATCAGGCAGCAGAGCTTGACAAAAGAGGGTGACAATGCTGCTTACATACACTTTAAACAATGATCTAAAGCCCTATGGACAGCTCAAGTTTTGGTGACTCTTGCTATATCAGATGAAATTCGAGCTGTGGGTGGCCCTGTAAACACCACCCAGCTCAGGTTTAAAATTAAAAAATTGGGGGGGATGGAAAATTATTGGTTGAATATTTCCTATCAGGTCACATTCAGTCAGGGCCAGAACATTGGGTGGACGGGAGGGGCTGCTGCCCTGGGCGCAATGGTTTACTGTAGGGATGGGGAATGCCATTCTTCTGTTACGAGGCTGACAAGAGAGTGATTGCTGGGCGTAGTTTTCCATAAGCTTGCACATAATGAATGGGGGGGACACAGTCTGGCATCTTGGCCCTGGGCGCTGGATGACTTTGTCCCGACTCTGGAGGCAGTCACAGTTCAATAGTGTAAGCAGCCGCATGAGATGCAGCTGCCTGAATACAATGTTGAGTGTTGATGGGAAATCACGGGGTTCTGAGTCATTTTTTTCTGCTTCTTGCAGGCTGTATGCCCAACGTTTGATCCAGCAATGCCAACAAACGTAAGCCTGCCATACATAGCTTAAAGTGCTTCTAAAGGCTCAAGGTTTTTAAAAACCTTTTGTGTGCAGCAATTCCCCCCAGCCCCTCTAATATGTACCTGAGCCCCCTCTTGATCCAGCGATCTCCACAAGTGTCTTGTCTCTCCAGGGAATCTCACCCCTGATTTGCTAAGGCAGCAGCGGGAGCCATTGGCTCCAGCTGCTGTCAATTACAGCCAGTGAGCCAATCAGAAGAGGGAGGTGGCAGGGCCAAGCTGCAGCTCGGTGTATGAATTGACTAGCCGCTAGGCCCAAGCACTGCATTATGGGAGGAGATCAGATGCTGTCGATACCCAGAGATATTTGCAGTGATAGCCATGGAAGAAGGTGCTGTATGGAGGAGCACTGTAAAGGCAAATATAAAATGGTCAAGGAGTGGGCTTTACATGTATTTTGTCACATGGTCTCCTTATATCGGAACTCCAGGTGGATAAAACACACAATTATTAACACATCAATAAATGTATTACTTAAATGCAAGTGGTAGAAGTAAACACTTCTTGCAGTCCCCGTTCAGCAGGGTTGGAGTATGAGAGGAAGAATCAGTGGAAGGAGTCAATCATTTCATGTTCTGACAAGAAGCATACTGATAGGAAGAGAGAGCAGTGTGACAGAGAGATAAGCTCATCACTGTGCTGCTTCTCCTTTCACTGTCCAGTCACAGGCTGGGGGCTGGTCAAGAGCAACCTAAGCTCAGAGGAAGTGGGATGAATGATGCTGGTCAGAAACAGGATCTAGCAGCAGAAAAAAAGTGCTCAGGAAATCTTAACTGAAGATGAATATTGCAGCAATGGCCAGTTTTGTTGCTTTGTTTTTTTTTAATGGGCTATTACCTTTTGTTTGTTATTGCTATTTGCTTGTTTTTTTGGCTGGAGTACTGTTTTAATGTGTCATATGAGCAAATCAACCCGCAACCTGTTTGTAAGAAGTATAAGTAAGGGTTTTTAAAGCCTTATTATAAATATGAACCTTTTTTTGTAAAAAGGCTTAGGGGCAGATTTACTAAAACTAGGGTACTCAGAATCTGGTGCAGCTCTGCATAGTAGTGAGTCAGTCAGCTTCTACCTTCAGCTTGTTCAATTAAGCTTTGACAATAAAACCTGCTTGCGGTGATTGCAGTCGTATTAGTGCACTTGCGACAGAAACAATTGAGTATTGTTGGTGATACTTTTTTTATTTGCACTAACATACAACCTTCAGGACAAGCTTTCTGGGTATGTCCCCTTCTTCAAGGTCCAAGCAGTACTATTTGGGCCTTGAAGAAGGGGACATACCTAGAAAGCTTGCCCTGAAAATTGTATGTTAGTGCAAATAAAAAAATATCACAGACAGTACACAATAAAACCTGAAAGCTGATTGGTTTATATGTAAAGCAGCACCAGATTTTGCACCATGCAGATTTAGTAAATAACT